ATTTTCAAAGTTTATTATTATTTAATTTTGTTGACCAACTTCACTACAACGTATGCGTATAATTTTAATTCTATTTACCTGTAATTACTTCTTACTTCTAAAGTAAAAATTACATTTGAATACATGATTTTAAATAAGCTGCTCCTTTTTTTTCTATTACTACCGTTTGAATTATTTTATAAAGTAATTTATGAATTTTTTATAACGCCAATTACTATAAGGAATACATATTTTGAAAATCTACATAATCTAAATTTTTTTCATCAGTCAATGTTAATGGGCAATGAGAGTACAGCGTTTGCCAAAGCGGATATTTTATGCTCAAAAAGAGTTGGCTAACAGGGCCTATATAAAATGGCCAACTCTACCTTGAAGCCATAGTGGGGTCCTCCCTCTTTCTCTGCTACCACAAGTGGAATCCGAGTTGAATACTTTCAGAGCTGGAGCATCGGTGTCCATTCGAACAACATGGCCCAGCCAGCGGACCGGTTGTATTTTAATACGCTGCTCTATGAAGAAAAATACCATAAATATGCATACCTAGTTTTCTTTTTTTTAATTCCCGAGCCGTTGAACCGAACCTGAAATCTCGGTTCAAAAACAAAAAAAAACCCGTTTTGACGAACCACTACAAAGGCGCAAAAACCGCTGAATCGAGCCTTTCAATTTTTCACTCGGTTCACATCCCTGCTACAATCTTATATCCCACATCCGCCAAAAGCTAAGTTGCAGTTAAGAGCTCTATTAAGTTTGAAAACAGTACGATGGAAAAGGACTATTACTCTGTGTTACAAAACTTAAAAAAAAAAATGCTCACGAAACAAGGGGCCAGATATAATGAAATTGCATTTTTAGTTTTTCTCTTTGACGTGTACCTTAATACTTCAAAGATATGATTAATTCAAAAAAATCATGCCCGGTCTCATCATCAATTTTAAAATTTATCAGACTGTTAAAAATTAAAATGACAAGTTTTACGAATAAAAAATTTAATTTTTTGATTGACAAAATCGAATAGGTATTGAAAATGTGCGTTTAATTACGTTTTTTAAGCTAATAAAGAATAGAGATAGAAGGGCATAATTCGATGAAATTTTTCAAAAATACATGTTGCAAGCGTATTCAAGGATAAAATTGTAAAAGGACTTTTTCAGCACCTACTCGTCTTCATGCACCAAAAAATTTAAACTTTTTAATTCTACAGAATTTTCTGTTTTATTTGATACCCATATTGTTATTCTACATTGCACTTAGTTTTTTTTTAATCTTTTGGATTAATCACATCTTTAAAACTTCAAAGTAATTTTAACAAGAATCCTGACGTCAGCGAGAAAAACTAAAAACTTAGTTTTAATATTTTCGGCAGAGACCCAAAATAATTATTATCCTAATATATGAGATCAAAAACGTCGCCTTGTTTTAAGAGACATTTTTTTTTCGTCTTTGTATAATAATTATATACGAGAAATATCATTTTTCGTCTCGTGGGATGCTTATTTTCAGATGGAAATTAATTACGTCTTTCCATAATAATTATATGGGATTTTTTTTTTCTTTTCTCCCGGGACGTTTATTTCAAGAACGAATAGTAATTACGTCTTGTCATAATAATTATGTGGGATTTTTATGTTTTTTCGTCTCGTGGGACGTGTATTTCAAGACGGAAATGTTTTACGTCCCACGTTCTCTCTTAATATAATCGGTACATGCACTGCCGATTTCACGAAATTAAACGCAAATATTTGCAAGTTCGATTATTGGCATTTGATTTGCTAACATCTGGCAATCCCTTTCAATAAACTTAAACCACGTAAAAGCAAAGCCCTTTAATTTGACACCCCATTTTTAAATATTTAACGCGTCTCTAAAAAAATAAAAGTTCCATATAATTATTTGGAGAAGGCGTACATCATATTCGTATTGAAATAAACGTCCCGGGAGACGAAACAAAAAAAAAACCCATATAAATATTATGAGAAGACGTAAACAATTTCCGTCTTAAATAAACATCCCGCGAGACGAAAAAAACAAATGTCCCATATAATTATTATGAGATGACGAAAATAATTTACATTTTAAAGTAATCGTCCCGCGAGACGAAAACAACTTTTCCATCGTTCAGTAATAATTATAGAGCAATATTTAATGTTATTTCTTATGATCGTTATGGTCTCTGATTTTCGGCCCTTAGTTAGCGAATATATTGAATTTTTTGCGTCTAAAATTTACTGTCGCACAGTAACGGTGAAAATAATAGAATCAAGAATCAAAATAATGCTGTTGGCAACTTATCTTTATTTATTTATTGTTAATAATTTTCATTTAAAATATGGGTCGACCTATATCAGATACAACATTAATAAAAGTTTCAAAGCTTGTACAAATTACAAAAAAAAATTTATCAAAATTAAAAAAATTGTCGTCAAAATTTCAAACTTTTTAATCAGAATCTTAAGAACATTTTCGGGTATGGAGTAAAGTGCAAGTTTCAAGTCGCTAAAAAATACCGTTAATTTTTTAGATTTTTTTTGTCGAGGGTGTTGCGCATTTTCTTCCATTTAAAGGTAAGTTTTGTTCATTCGTTACATGGAGAAAACTCGAAACACCCTCGACAAAAAAAAAAATTCTAAAAAATCAACGGTAATTTCTAGCGACTTCGAACTTGAACTTTACTACTAAAATTGACTGGGCTATAAAACTACATACTCGAAATCTTGCTAGGAATTCTATTTAAAAATATCAAAATTTTGATGAACAGTTTTTTAAGTTTAATTAGTTTTTTTGAACTTTTGCAAGCTTTGAAACTGATGTAGGTCGAACCATATTTTAAACGAAAATTATTAACAAAATAAATTAATAAACATAAGTTGCCAACAGCATCATTTTGAATCCTGATTATATTATTTTGACCGTAACTGTATGTATGTAGCAGCAAAAATAGATAATTTTAAAGCAACATATGGAATTTCACTTAACACAAAATTTTACGAATTGCGTACACGAAGCTCGGCCTAGCACTAGCAAAATATTTATACTTCTTTAAAAATATGGCTCCTATTTATTTCTTCTGTGTTCAGCAAATTTCGTTTAACAGTCATTCTTCTTCAAAGTAATATCATTATTGTATCCTTAAGTTTTTATTGATACATTTCTTATGATTTCTCTTTAATGGCCCTGCTTGCTCATATCTCATTGCCCCATTTTTTCGCAACTCCAATCATAGTAAAATTTGATTTAATTCTTTAATCACAATTTTTCCTTTCACTACGGTCTTTTCTAATTTGATAAAAAATAAACACCTATCTTTATACTTATACTAAAATCGAGCAGCTGAAATTAATTCGTATACGACTTTTTTCACTTTATATATGTAAGCTGATCAAGTTTAAAAGCTAATATGATTATTTGATTTCCAGTTTTCTGAAGAAACCTGTTATCCTTATAATTGCAGCGATTATCTAAAGATTTTTTTGTAATAAGGTGTAAAGTATTCAGAAAAAATTAAGATACAATAATCATATTTAAAATAAAAACATAAGCTTTAATGCTTTTTAGGTCGAAAAATAGCAAAATTTAATTATAAAAGAATAAATAAATATACAAAATACGCAATTTTTGCCAAACATTTTTTTATTTTTCTAAGTAATTTATACAAAAAATCTAATTTTTTTATTTAAAACTATTTTTTTTTATATTATATTTTTTTGTTCACTGCTACTCTCATGATTCTATTATTAAGCTTGCAAAATTGGTTTTTTATACTTTTATTTATAAACTAAATACAATAAAAACTTATTTTCTTTGCGCTTACAAACTAATACTTTAACTTAAAAAATATCAAAACATCATATGTTTGTATGTATATATGTAATGATCAGTGGATTACTTGAGAAAATGTATGCGCACCTCAAAATATGTATATTTAGTTATACAATAATATGTGTATGTATGTATGCAAATATGAATGTAGGTTTCATAAGGGCTTGGACAGGCTATGCAACTACATAATTAATTGGATAAAATAGAATTTGATTTCAACAAACTAGAAACCTAATATTTTATGAAAAATCCTTTTCTAAATCGTACACCGATTTGGTAAACTTTAGTTTTTGAAATGATTAAAAAAATTGTCAACTATTTTCTTCTTTTTAAGCGGACAATGTTTACTTAATATATTGAACTTCCGGTGGCANACCTAACCTAATATTTTATGAAAAATCCTTTTCTAAATCGTACACCGATTTGGTAAACTTTAGTTTTTGAAATGATTAAAAAAATCGTCAACTATTTTTTTCTTTTTAAGCGGACAATGTTTACTTAATATATTGAACTTCCGGTGGCAAAAGCAGGCATATGTATGCAGTTGATAATGATGTGATTTAAGCCGCAATAACGATCTGGCAAACATATGACTAAACAAATTTGTTTAAATATACAATATAATATTTTAAATTTCAACATAAATATTTGTCTTCCAATCTATGAGTATATGAATATTGAAACTATTGTCTCTTATTTCTTTTCTTCTGATATAATTTGTACGNGAAATTTGTTTAAATATACAATATAATATTTTAAATTTCAACATAAATATTTGTCTTCCAATCTATGAGTATATGCATATTGAAACTATTGTCTCTTATTTCTTTTCTTCTGATATAATTTGTACGCCTCTCTTTTGTAACGCCTACATTTACCAGACAAAAAAAGTATAGAAAAAATGCGCGTGCGACCTTTTACAAAATTTCGAAAAAATTGCCGCAAACAAACACATTTCATACAACTACTAATACTACTTTAGAGCGAACTACTAATCGAAACGGCGTCGACTTTGCCCTTTATTTGAATAGCGTGCTATGCGCTATGATCTCAGAAGCTTTCACAAAACTTTGCAAAACTTTCACCTAGCTAGCACAAAGCTTTTCATACTCTTATGTAAAAAAAATGTTTCCCCTCTAATATTCAAATCTTCCAACTTCCCTATCAAAGCTTTAATTTTTCCATTCTTCAAGCTTTCATCCTTTTACTGCCAAAGCTTTCACACTACCATTTCAAAGGCTTTCGACTTTTCTACATCAAAAGCTTTCATCACGCAAACTTTCCAAAGCGTTCACACTATCACTTCCACTGCACTCTTCTTTCTAAACTCATTCACTACTCTAATAAGGATTGAACTTGTTACGCGTCTTATCGCTATCTGTATTGCCATCGGTATGATTGTGGCTACGAAAACGTGTCGATACAAAACTTTTAGTGCGGTGCACACCAGTTGTCTGTATGGGTGGACCATTGAGTGTGGCCAGTCCGCCCAATAGATCGGTTAGACCACCGAGTGCGGTCAGACTCGAGAGTGCATTCAAAGCGCCCGGCTTGGACAACAATTGCGCTAACGGTATAGCGGTGGCTAACGAACTTACTGCTGTGGAAGTTGCAAAGGGATTTGGTGGATTTGTAAATGGTAGTGAACTGGAAAATGGATTGGTTGGATTGTTGGATGTGGTGTTTAAGGTTATGTTGCTGCCGCTATTGCTACCAGTGCTGTTGCTGCCGCCGCTACCGCTACCGTTGCCGCTGTTGTTTGCGATTGTCATGGCTGTTGTTGAGTGTGTGTTGTTGGTGTTGCTGTTCGAATTGCTTGTGTTTGTGTTTAAATTGTTTAAACTATTGCTGCTACTATGATTGCTGCTGTTGCTCTGATTCAAGCTGTTATTGCTGCCGCCACTGCCCAAATTGGACGTGCCGCTTAAGTGATTGCTATTATTGGTGTTACCGTTGGCATTGCCATTGCTGCCACCATTTGCGGCGTTAGTGTTGCTGTTGTTGCCACTGTTGTTCTGGCCATTAGCGACATTATTCGCCTCCTGTAGATTAGCCTTCTGCAGTTCAACGCTGGAAAAGGGATAAAGAGAGAGAGAAAGAGAAAAAAGGACAATAGGATATTGTTTGTATGTGGTGATGAGATAAGGTTTAGTTGTTTTTTGAAAGGTGATGACTGTACTTTTTTTCTTGATGGTAATTTTGTGGAATTGAGTTGGTTTTTGCAGTTTGTTTTTTTTTTGTAATTTTTAATAATTTGGAATTTGATGATTATTTGCGTTTGGGGTTAAGGAGGGAATTTGCTGGATATTTTTTTGCAAGGAGGATTCTTTAAATGCTTGATTTTATATTTTTGCGGTTTGGCGTTCAAAATGGTACAAGTGTGTGTGGGTTGGTGGTGCAGGTCATTGGTTTTATTTTCGCTTGTTTGAGGGATTTAAATGGGTTTACGTAAGCCGGCATTCGAATGCAGTCGAAGATGTGGTAGAATGCAAAAAAAATATAAATAAGAAAAATTTTTAGAATTCATCGCTCGCTAAAGCCCTTTATCAGTTCTACAATAAATGAAGCTCCTTTTTATTGTATAGCACCGTCTGTCAAAATTCAACTTTTTGTTTCATATCCAAGGGTTTTTGTTTTTGTTGCTGCTGATTACCAATCTGAAGTCAGTTCTTAAATTTTTTTTTATTATCAGATTTTTATGAAATTTGACATCCAAAGGTTCTTTGAGCTTGAGTTTGATTTTTTTTTAATTTTTCATCAAAATAAAAAAAATTAAAAATTAGGAAATTCAGACACTACCAGCCCTATCGAAAAGAGATGTACAGTGGTGGAAGAAATGAAAGAAACTTTATATTTTAACCAATATTAGCTAAATTACTTTTGTTTATTTGATTTTAATATTTTTTTTTTTATAAAAGTCAAGCGCACAATGCAAGTTTGAAAATTTTGGGGGATTTTGGTAAAATCTGTTAAATTTTAATAATTTTTGTACAAAGTTTGAAATGTGGATGTCTAAGGTGCGTGTTATATAGCGCGATAGATTTTTATAAAAAATATGGAACATCGCATAAACAAAAGAAATGTAACCAAAACTGGTTAAAATAAAGTTTATATTATATCTTCCACCACTGTATATACGGTTTTTAAAGACTTTTGTTAGATTTTATTTGCATTAAGGTTGTTCACCGGTTTAGATGCGATCATTGGATCATGAAGTATATATATATATTTTTTTTTAAGTAGGTTTTTTTTTGCTAAAAATTACTTGTTTAATTTATTTTTTTGTTTATATTTTTTTAAATTTTATTTTTTTAAAAAGAAAAATATATATTTTTGTGTTTAATGTTAATTTTTCGAAAAATGATTGCTAAAATTCATTTTTTTTGTATTTAATTTTCTTTTAATATTTGATTTTTTAATATTTTTTTTTTAAATTCAATTTAATTGCTAGAAACTTATTTTATAATTTAATCTTAGTTGAATTTTTAGAATTTATTGCTTTAAAAAGAAAAATATTTAATTTTAATTTCATTTATTTTTCAGGAGTTTATTTTATTTGTTCTCTTTTAGTTAAGTTTAATTTTCTTAGTTTTTAAAAATTTATTTTATTTGTTTTTTTTTATTTTTATTTTTTGCTTTTTAAGGAAAAATATGAATACATANAGTTTTTAAAAATTTATTTTATTTGTTTTTTTTTTATTTTTATTTTTTGCTTTTTAAGGAAAAATATGAATACATATATTTTTTAACAGAGACCATAACGATTATAAGAAATAAAATTAAACATGGCTTTCTAATTATTACTGAACAATGTAAACGTGGTTTTCGTCCCGCGGGACGAATATTTTAAAATGTAAATTATTTTCGTTATCTCATAATAATTATATGGGCCTTTAATATTTTTTCGCCTCGCGGGACGTTTATTTCAAGACGGAAATTATTTACGTCTTCTCGACATATAATTTATGTACGTCTTCTCATAATAATTATATGGGATTTTTATATTTTTTTCGTCTCGTGACGTTTATTTCCAGAGGGAAATGATTTACGTCTTCTCATAACAATTATATGGGATTTTTATTTTTTTCGTCTCTCGGGACATTTATTTCAAGACGGAAATAATTTACTTCTTCTCCTAATAATTATGTGGGACTATTATTGAATAAAACTTCTTAATTGAGTTCGGAGATTTGACGCGTTAAATATTTAACGCCACAATTGTTCATGTCAGCAAATCTGTTTCGTTCGTTCGATTTTCAAAAATGTGGTGCAAAATTAAAGGGCTTTGCATTTACGTGATTTCAGTTTATTGAAAAGGGTTGCCAGATGTTAGCAAATCAAATTCCAATAATCGAGCTCGGAGATATTTGCGTTTAATTTCGTGAAATCGGCAGTACATGAACCGGTTATATTAAGAGACAACGTGGGACGTAAATCATAGCCTTGAATTAAACGTCACTAGAGACAAGAAAAATAAAAGTCGCATATAATTATTATGAAAGGACGTAAATCATTTCCGTCTTGAAATAAACGTCCCGAGAGACGAGAAAAACAAAAATCCCATATAATTATTATGAAAAGACGTAAATAATTTCCATCTGAAAATAATCATCCCACTTGAAAAAAAAAGATATTTCTCGTAAATAATATTATACAAAGACAAAAAACAACAAAGTTAGGAATAACTACTCGGGGTCTCTTTTTTTTTAAATTAAAATTTTCGAAAACTTGGTAAAAAAACTAACAGAATAACGCTAAGACCTCTTCGTTAGTAGGTCTTTCCATTAGTCTTTCGAAAAAGAGCATCGGATATATTAAGAGGGTAGATGATGACGGGCGACGTTATATTCTCAATCAGTGGAGCATGGTTCACCGTGTGAAAGAGATGACAAAGTAATGTGGTATATTTGAGCCACCGCTGCTTTTTATTAAAAGCTTTTATGGATAAAAAAGTGGCGTAGTGATTTTCTAAATGCACTGCTGATATTTATTTTTGTCTATGAATATTATATTTAGTAAAAATTTTAGGTAATTTTAGTTCTAGAATACCGTACGCGAATACTAAAATCGAAAAACGCACATCTCACCCAGCCTAACTCAAAAACGTCCTTGACACTACATATTTCCTGTACATTAATATTTAATGAAACATTTTCGCTAATTACTCGTGGGCAGGTAATAAAAAAAGTAAAAAAAAAAAATGCATAAACCACACCTACATTTGCATTCAAATAGGCTTAGCATACATGTGAATATTTTATTTCGGCGGATGCTTTTGTTTGATTTTTGGGTTCGGGGTTGGTATGGTTTGGTCGGTCTCAAAGGGATTAACGGTACTGACATTATTGGCATGGATTAAATGATATTTTATTTTTCTATCGCTTCTTTTTTCTTGTACTGGGTGGAACGTTGATATGCATACGCGGCTACAAAAATCCATGGATGTGGGTGGCAACAACGTGTTTACATTAATGTACTATGTATGAGACGATTTCGTTTAAGGGTGTGTGTGCGTGTGCGGCAGCGCGTTGTTATTTGAAACTTTGATTGTCACGCGGCTGGCTGGCTGCTGCAGCTACAACAAATGAGCCAGTTCCGATTTTTGTTGGGTTTTTCTCTGTTGCTGATTTTGTGATGGGTATGGGGCATAGCGCGATGGATGATGGATAAAAAAGAAAACAGCTAATCTCTACATGCATACATACATACCAACACTACAAAGTATATACAATTACAATGTATGAACGGGTCGGTTAGAGTAGGTATGAAAATATGGCGAAAGGAGGATTGTATATATATTTTTTATTTTCATCTCTAATGAAAATTGACGTATTTCATTTTTGCTGAAAACTTTTTGGTTAGGAGTTGCGGAAGGAATGACTTGTTTTCGGTGATGGGGGAGATACGTACATACAAACATATGCAGATTTATCATTTCATTTGTTGTGGTGTGGTATGAGGGGGTGGCCCTTTCCACGAAATGAGGCTGGATTTTCATTTCACAGAAATTTCTGATGTTTTGCAAAATTATTAGGCTATAGAAGGTACGCACACAATGGGCTTTGGATTGCACAAAATATTGTATTATGAGACTGGTGGGTCATTCATTATTAGTAGCGAGTAAGTGTTTGCAGGATTCTTGATTACGATTGGGTGGGTGGACTGTTTAGGGTACGGTACATTACTGTTCTGAGTTACTTCGAACAAAATGTGTATGGAATTTGAGGTTATGGTTCGAAACACGTTATTCCAGTGCTTTTCTTTTTAATTTTTGAGATGATTTGAAATGAGTGGATTTTACTAAACAAAATTTTCTTCGTTTTATTTAAATAAAATGTATGTTCGGCTAAAATTAATTAAGGTNAGGGTGGCCCTTTCCACGAAATGAGGCTGGATTTTCATTTCACAGAAATTTTTGATGTTTTGCAAAATTATTAGGCTATAGAAGGTACGCACACAATGGGCTTTGGATTGCACAAAATATTGTATTATGAGAGTGGTGGGTCATTCATTATTAGTAGCGAGTAAGTGTTTGCAGGATTCTTGATTACGATTGGGTGGGTGGACTGTTTAGGGTACGGTACGTTACTGTTCTGAGTTACTTCGAACAAAATGTGTATGGAATTTGAGGTTATGGTTCGAAACACGTTATTCAAGTGCTTTTCTTTTTAATTTTTGAGATGATTTGAAATGAGTGGATTTTACTAAACAAAATTTTCTTCGTTTTATTTAAATAAAATGTATGTTCGGCTAAAATTAATTAAGGTTGTTGTTTGTTTTTTTTTTTTTTTTTTTGAACGACTCAAAACAAAATATTTAATATACGGAGTGGATTACGTTTCAACTTTTTCGCTAAACGAAATGTTGTTGAGAATTAAGTGGATATTAATTTGGGTGCAAAAGTAACTCAAAGAGGAAAATAAACTATAAAAAATGGGAATTTCTTTCTCTCTCACTTTTTTGTGACTGTGGAAAATTGGTGCAAGGAAATAGTGGTTGTTAGAAGTTTGATAATAAAAAGTACACATTTTATTAGGTTTAAAAAAGTATTAACTTTTTGGGTTTTCAATAAATTATTTCTTGCTATTGGTTTTTTTTTCAAAATTTATTACTAAATATTTTGCACAATTATCGTACGTGCATGCCGGTTTCTGCTTGTAAAACAGAGGCACTGCCAAATTAAAAGTTATACAAGAGACTTAGTACAAGGTAAATAGTTTAAGTATGAGTTAGGTACTAAATCAACCTTTGACCTTAGTTACGGTGGCTGTAGTGAGCTTGGCGCTCAACATGTATGTAGTAGCTTAAATCTAACAAAACAACGCTTAAGACAGCTGTTGTACAGCTATGCCTTTTTTGGTATTAAAAGTTAGTAGAAATAATATACAGCTAACTTTTTTCAGAGTCTAAAAGGTTTTTGTGACATTTTTGAACGCTTTGTTTTGTTTCAATGTTATATAGATTGTATAGTATATATTTTTTTTGAATGTGTTATCATCATCAAAGAACCTCCTTATACCGCATAATGTTAATTCAGTATATTACTTAGAATTAAATTCAAATTGTGAAATTACAAAAGTTACAGATTTGATTTGTTTTGATTCGTTTTGTTTTTTCCATTCGATTAATTGATTGTTTGCTCGATTAATTGTTCGACTGATTATTCGACTGATTGATTGTTTGAGCGTACGGTGTATGGTGTCTGAGTGGGTGTATTTGTGAATCAATTACTTTAGTCATTAATTACAGCATACAATATGTGTTGTGTATTCATTTTGCAATTCAATTCGACAAAATAGAACAATAAAATATTTTTCAAAAATACTGTATATTCTTAAAAATACTACAAATCAACTAATAGCAATTTTTAATAGTCAATTAAATTCGTATTTTTTCCTGCTTTCACTCAAATGCTATTAAACATTTAAAAATTTGCATTATTTTCACTCACCTCATGTTGATTAAGTATTGAGCCAATGCCACCGAATCCGGATTGCCGCTAATGGTGATTGTACGATCGGTATTGCCACCTTCGCGCTCTTCGCAATTCGAAATGCGTATCATTGCACCGGAAATTTGACGTATTTCGGCAATCTTTGTGCCACCCTTGCCGATAATGCAGCCAATCAAGTCATTGGACACGGTCATTTCATGCTGCTGCTGCTGCGTGCGACTTGCATTGGCTGTACGCAGCTGCGAGCCAGCGAGTGCGGCCAAAGCTGCTTTAAAGCGCAACGAAAGGGTGGAAAAAGAGAAAGAAAATAAAAATAAAATTAGTGAAATTCCATAGCTGACAACAAGTAATTACAACTAACCTGTGGGATTGAGTCCACCTGTATTGGTTGGTGTTATGCCAGCCAAACCCAACGCTGCCAAGCTAGCCAATGGATTCTTTGCCACCTAGCGCGTCATGGAAGCACGATAGTGAGCGAGCGACAAGCGTGTGGGGAAAAAGGAAAACAAATACAAAATTTACAGATTAGTTAAAGTATATTTTTATTGAAAGGCAAGTATTGTTAAAAACAAATTATAACCACTTCAGTAATATATATATATAAAACGCACTGCTTTGCAATTGAAAGTGAAAAAATAAAATTGTTTAACACTACATTTAGTACGAAAATATAGATATTTACAAAAGAACAAACGAACACAACAAGTATAAGGCGTTTAGCAGCAACAGAATTTATTGTATAAGTTGGTGTTAGAATGCATTTGACAGTTAGAAATAAAAAAAGAAATTTAATTCAAAATAACCGAGTATTAGTTTTACTAGTTATAGCAGCATTTGTATGCTATTTGCCCTGCAGTGTAAAGCCAAACTAGTCGGTAAAAATGACAGTTCAATAACTGCTATGAGCTAAAGCGACGGCCTACCAGTTCGACACTTTGGAACAACTTATGCAAGCAGCGACTACTGCCTTTGAATTATCAAAGTCAAAACTAAAACGCAATTAATTGCTTTTCGCAGAAAAGTGAGCTTTGGCGTCGCAGGAAGACTATCGCTTCTGGTTTGGACGGAGTCCGAGTAGAGGTGGAAAAAAATTGCCAAAAATCAACGGTAATGTGAGTCATCACATTTTTGGGTATGCAGTTTTATAGCCTAGAAAATTTTAGTCTCACGAAGTGCAAGTTTCAAGCGTCAAAAAAATTGCGTTGATTTTTTATAATTTCAAAATCATAAAATAACTGCATACCCAACAATTTTCTAAAGATTCAGATTAAAAGGGCTCGAAATTTTAATGAAAATTTGTTGAATTTTGCATTTTTTTTTTTTTATTAAGTTTGGCCCTTTTGATTTATATGGTTTTGGTTTAAGCTTTGACAATATTTTTATTGAAAAACAAAGCATTGTCAATAATAAAAAAAAAAAAAAAAATTAACATGCGAACACTTGGTTGAGTCACTGTATTTAGCCGACATAACTAAACCTTTTTTCCCAGTGTAGACTTAATACTTCAATGTTAAACTTAACAGCAGTGTAGTAGGTAGTATGGATAGTAAGTAGAACTACAGCAGAATAAGTTAACAAAGTGGCATTATAGGAAAAGTTTTACAGCATGGATATGTAAAGTGAAAAAAGATGTAAATATTAGAATGAGCGATAATCCGTGAAATGAGTTATGTTGAATTTCAACCAGGTATTAAATGGCCAAATTTTCAACATGGCATTTTATAAATGGAATACATTTTTTGCCATTTTAATGCAAATGAAAATTNGGTAGTATGGATAGTAAGTAGAACTACAGCAGAATAAGTTAACAAAGTGGCATTATAGGAAAAGTTTTACAGCATGGATATGTAAGTGAAAAAAGATGTAAATATTAGAATGAGCGATAATCCGTGAAATGAGTTATGTTGAATTTCCACCAGGTATTAAATGGCCAAATTTTCAACACGCCATTTTATAAATGGAATACATTTTTTGCCATTTTAATGCAAATGAAAATTCGGCATTAGGCTGTTCAGGAAGAAATTGTCTGGAGTGGAGTGGGCATTGTCATTTCCTTGTACTCCAAACGATATTTTTTAATACCTTATTTCAATGTGCTACCGCTTCTAATGAATTCTAAGATTTTTGAGTAAATCGAATTTGACTTTATTGCATAACAGCTTAAGTTGTCTTTTACAGTCGAGTCCCTAAAAATTAGCTTTTCAATCAAAAACTGCTATCTACTACTTGAATGCGCAAAGGTGTGGTATACGGTCGCAATTCCGTATACGAGACAAGCCGTATGTTCACGACTGTTATAATCCGAAATATGAATTTTTTCGTGACGTGTTGCTCGTTCACGACTGTTACGATTCGAGCCCAGTACCATATATTCGTTGAACGAAATGAATCGCTTTACGTTTGAACACTTTCGAAAGTGATGCAAATTTATGGGCAAACGATTTTCCTTGAAAAACATCTTTCCGGACGAAGCGTGTTTTCATAAAAGCGGCTATATTAACAAGCAAAACTGCGCATCTTGGGATCGGAAAACTCGAACTTGATCTTCGAGAAGCCAATGTATCCGCAGAGCGTGACAGTTTGGTGCAGATTTTAGATTGGTAACGGTTTGCGCTACCGAGAAATGAGAAACGAAAATGCAAGACATGGTTTCAGCCGGATGGCTTGCCATGCCGCACAGCCCATGCCACAATCGATATTTTGGGCGCCATGTTCGGTAATAGTGTTATCAGCCGTCTCGGCGATGACGGCGACCACAGAGCTGCGATTTCACGTAGTTCAACTTTTTTTATGGGATACCGTAAAGGGCCGATGTTATACGAACGATTCATTAACGATTCAGACCCTTAAAGGGAATGTCGAGCAAGTCATTCGTGTGATATAGAGCCAGAAACCGTAAATGCGATTTTGGTAACTGGGTTTACAGGATGCGCTACTACGAAGAAAGGCGAGGTAGCCACATAAATAATGGGAATGTTGCGAACAAAGCAACAATGTAAAGAAAAAAAATGGATTTTTGTATTTTTTTTTTTTTTTACAGAAAGCACTATATGGAACACATTTTATATTAACCCTCAACCATTAGGTGTGGTATATTGGTTCCTTTTTATTCAAACCTCATACCTAACAGTTTCTAGAGATTTATAGTTTTTAATGTATGAAATCGAGCATTTGCCCACAAAAATTCAGCTTTTTAGGTCGTAGGTGATTCGAATTCTCACGCTGGCTTAAGTTGCGATTATCCCACGTTAAATTTCCTTACTACAAAAATCTCACATCGTGCCGTCCAAGATGAGCTCAGTATCTATTCAGTCTACCTAACTTAAATAAACTTAGGGGATGGACAGAAAAGGATTAAAATACATATGGGTCCATATACATATGTATAATTTTGAGTTGTTGTGAGTGTTCTGATATATGTACCACAACAAAGCGCGATTAAATATTTGATCCGATCCCGGCTTTTTAATTTGAAAAACATATAATCTGAACTCAAAAGCCTAAATTATCTTGTTAAAATTTAGCGGATTTTCCATCTCAGACATAAAACCATCGCCGACTGGTATTTTACCAACCGAAAAATTCATTTCTAAAATAGCTATAAAGTGAGTTTTAGAAAAAAAAAATGGAATAAACTATAAAAAGCCAACGGAAAAAAATATAAAACATGCGCTAAATACAGATAAGTAACAATGAAATAGTAGAGTAGCAACAGTTAAGAAGAAGGAGAAAAGAGCGCAGAAGCAGCTCAATGTCTTCGGAAAGTTGTAGAAAAATATGAACAAATAGTCGATAGCAGCATTAAAAGGGGGGAAAATTGTATGTAAGTGGGTACATATGTATGTACTATGCTTGTGCAAGTGGCTCATCAAAGCACATTAATAACTGGGATTACAACTAAGTACAATACAAGGGTAAATTATGGGGAACAGGTCACATTCCAGGGTACTTAACAACAAGAACATTCTATTTAGAACATACTTGATACATAAACAACAAATTACTAAATTTGATGCACATATACATACATAGTAATTGGGCAGGTTGCGGGTGCACAGAATGCAGGAGAACAAATAAAGGTTAGAAAAGTTGCGAAAAATATGGAAATTTATGCTTGACTTATGAAAAATTTGATTACTTTAATTCATATATTAGAATTGCAATCCTGTAACACAAGACGGAAATAAGTAACTGCATTGATGTGGCGTATAAGCAACATTTATGGACACGAGATTTCGACCAGTTTTGACTCTTGTTCTTTTGATTGTTTAACGTTTATTATTTTTATTACCTGACAAATACCATATAAGTCTAAATTTCAAATCTTAGAAAAAAATTGACAAAATTTTACAACAAACTTTGTATTAATAATTTTTTTAAATGTAAGCACGCAGTTTTATAGCCCATTTCATTCTAGCTTCAGAAAGTGCAAGTTTCAAATGGCTAAGAAATCGCGTTGATTTTTTACCTTTTTTTTGTATGGAAGAAAATAATAACACCATCCGAAAAAAATTTATCAAAAATCAACGTGTATTCCTAGCTGTTTTAAAATTGTGTGGAATTTGTCTACAAAGTTAAAATATAGTTTAAGAAGTTAAGGAGCTCATAAATCTAGGCATCAAGTATAGTAAAACTGCGTGTTTAGTTTGGATTCGTTTTAAAGTGACTTTGAAATTTCATAGATATGATTGATTAAAAAAATTATTTAAATAATAAGTGCATCGAAGAATAACAGCATTGAAAATGGCTTGTGTGCAGCAGGTATTATTTTTGCAAGAAAATTTGCAAAAAAAAAACTGCGATTTGATTGGTAAGTACCAGAATGGGGTGCTCGAGGTCAATGATGTTTGGAACAAACAAACTGTCCACTTCCCTCACGACCGAAGGTATGACGAAAAATGTAAAAACGNCGAATTTCATAGATATGATTGATTAAAAAAATTATTTAAATAATCAGTGCATCGAAGAATAACAGCATTGAAAATGGCTTGTGTGCAGCAGGTATTATTTTTGCAAGAAAATTTGCAAAAAAAAACTGCGATTTGATTGGTAAGTACCAGAATGGGGTGCTCGAGGTCAATGATGTTTGGAACAAACAAACTGTCCACTTCCCTCACGACCGAAGGTATGACGAAAAATGTAAAAACGCGAAACCAACTTTCGCCAAACATTTTTTTTTCTGAAATCGTCTTAAAAAATATTTTAGACACAGGGATGTACGGCTAAGGTCTTTAATTTTTCGTACGTAACATTTGTGGACACAAATCAAAAAAACAACCGAAAATGGCCGTGATCGGTTTAATTTAAAGCATACCTCCCACACAAACCTAACCTCAAAATCACATTTAAATGCTATAAAAAACGCGCCGATAGTCGTAAAATTATTTATAAATAGATAACCACATTCTTCACAGTCTTTGTTCTTTCGGTTTTAGCATGATAAAATATCGCGACTTAAAGGAAAAATAAAAAAATTAGAAGTCGGCGCAAGCAAAAGAAAAAAATTCACCTTTGAGTTTGAAGTTTTTCCTCGGCCAATTTAATACTACAAACAAATGATACTTTTCAAATATCTATAGAAAAAAACTATTGGTCGGAATACAGGAGTTCTTTCTGATTTTATTGTAGGTTCTATTCAGGAATTTAGAAATACCATTAGATATTGCGTAGGTCGTATGTTGCAAATTTGACTTTTTCCGCCAAATCCCCAGTGCGGTACGGTCTAACTGGGTCTAGACTAAAAATTTGCATCGTCTGACATTTTTATTTTTAAATAGTACCTTTTAAATTTCGTATCTTAACATGAAATTTTTATTATAAAATGTGGAATATTTTTTTTTTGTTATTTTGTTTTATTGTTTCAGTAGATACACCTGCGTTGAACTTTAATTATTCTGAATAATTTTCATTTAAAACATAATTCAATCTATAACAAAAACCAGCGTTGGCAAAATGTAAGTCTGATTAAGGANCACATTCTTCACAGTCTTTGTTCTTTCGGTTTTAGCATGATAAAATATCGCGACTTAAAGGAAAAATAAAAAAATTAGAAGTCGGCGCAAGCAAAAGAAAAAAATTCACCTTTGAGTTTGAAGTTTTTCCTCGGTCAATTTAATACTACAAACAAATGATACTTTTCAAATATCTATAGAAAAAAACTATTGGTCGGAATACAGGAGTTCTTTCNGACATTCTTCACAGTCTTTGTTCTTTCGGTTTTAGCATGATAAAATATCGCGACTTAAAGTAAAAATAAAAAAATTAGAAGTCGGCGCAAGCAAAAGAAAAAAATTCACCTTTGAGTTTGAAGTTTTTCCTCGGCCAATTTAATACTACAAACAAATGATACTTTTCAAATATCTATAGAAAAAAACTATTGGTCGGAATACAGGAGTTCTTTCTGATTTTATTGTAGGTTCTATTCAGGAATTTAGAAATACCATTAGATATTGCGTAGGTCGTATGTTGCAAATTTGACTTTTTCCGCCAAATCCCCAGTGCGGTACGGTCTAACTGGTTCTAGACTAAAAATTTGCATCGTCTGACATTTTTATTTTTAAATAGTACCTTTTAAATTTCGTATCTTAACATGACATTTTTATTATAAAATGTGGAATATTTTTTTTTTGTTATTTTGTTTTATTGTTTCAGTAGATACACCTGCGTTGAACTTTAATTATTCTGAATAATTTTCATTTAAAACATAATTCAATCTATAACAAAAACCAGCGTTGGCAAAATGTAAGTCTGATTAAGGATTAAAAATTAACGATTAAAATGTTAATCGCGATTAACGATTCAAATTAAATTAATCGTAATCATCTCTACGATTAATAATTAAATACTTTCAATCGTTAATCGTCGGTTGTGATTACGATTAATTAATTTTAATCACTAATCTTTAATCCAATTAAAAATAAAATCTGATTAAGTGCTCTAAAAAACACATAAATAAAGGTTTCAAAACTTGCACAAATTTCAAAATAAGTTAATCAAACTTAAACAAATTGTCATGAAAATTTACAAAAAAAAAACGCTAATTTTCAGCGACTTGAAACTTGAACTTTATTACACTAAAATTGAATGGGCTACAAAACTGCATATACGAAAATTTTCTAAATATTCTGATAAAAACTTTTGAAATTTTGATTTTTTTTTTTTTTGGAAATTTGTGCAATCTTTATTTATGTGGTTTCTGTTATAGATTGAATTATATTTTAAATTTTTAAACGCATGTGTACATACATAACTATATTAAAATAGCTCTGCGTTCTTTTTTTTTAATAAATAAAAAATTTGTTCAAGCATAAATTTCCATACTTATAATGTACACAGTGTAAACTACATCGCTAGATATTGAACAAGGCACAAGTCTTATAACTCCATTCCAGGAATCAGGGGATATGTAAGTATGCAAAACACAAAACCAGTGAAAATAACACCAACATTTCGTTACAAACCTAAACACAACCGGGGGTAAAAGGGAAAAGCATGAAGCAAAATTGAAGATGTTATTTAGTTTTAACAAACGTTTCAGCCGGTAACGGAGGGGGACTCTATGTACTATATTTGACAACTACGGTAACACAACTAACTATGCGGAAACAAAGGTCGGTGGCGGGTTCGGGGTCTGGGTCTATGTAGGTCGGATACTAGGGCAGCATACACATTTTACTCAAGGGTGTTGCTAATCGCCATTCAAGTGACGACCATAAAAGCCAGTTACTAAACAGAGTTGGGTGTGAGGTGTGGTGAGGAAAGTGAGGGGTGCGCATAAAATACCTGTTTAGCGAAGGGGATTTTCATTTTGCCAAAATAATTTCATAAAGTATGTCAACCATAGCGAAACAATAGCACAACTTTCATAACAAATCTTTCTTTTTTCCAAGATTAATTCTTATTTCGTTTGTTTTGCTTTTTGGTAAGCTTGGTTTCTCTTGAAATGTTGTCTTTGTTGTTGTTGTAATATACAAATGCAACTCACATCGGGTATATGCTGTAGATGATGGTGGGCTGCCGGCACCGCTCCCTGCAAATGTGCCCCTTTCAAGAGAGGATCCGTCAAACCTGAGATACCAGCGTGTAGGCCACCGGTGGCCAAGGCCAGTGGAAAAACTGGGCATGTCTTTTTTTGTTTGGTTTTGGTTAGCGATTCCATAAACGATATTTTTGTATAAAAATGTTTTTCATAATTGCCAATATGCACCAGCAGAAAGACGAACGTGACGGTCAACGCAGTTGTGGTGGTAGTAGAAGAGATTTTGGCGTTGGTAGTGATGGTGGTTGTGGTGGTGGTGAGTAGTAACGAGTAGTAGTAGCAGAAGTAATATACATTTTGTTGTTGTTGGTGAGTTAAACGATTTTCGATTTTGTTTTTGCACGAATAACAACAATAAGAAAAGAATACAAAGAAAATATGTGTTGTAATTAAAAAAGAGATCTCTTTTGGCAGTAAAAAAATATACACTAGTTTTATAATTTTTTTCCAACTATCTAGGCCGTGGAAGGGTCAAGGGGTTCACAGCTGTGAGTGGGATAGGGTTAGTTAAATTAAACTGGAAAATGATTAAAAAGGAATCGATAGTTCAACCCAGAGGGATAAAAAATATGCTATATGGGTAATCAAATTTACAAAAAAAAGAGCGAAGGTAATTGTGGAAATGATACGAGTATGAGAATTGACTTTTAATACATAGAAAAAAATTCCCAAAAGGTAGATATGCAGTACGGGCGTAGGTTGTAAAATACTGGGATATTTTTGCAGAAAACTAATCACCATGAAAAAACCACGTTTCAATGTAACAAATAAAGGTCTGAGGAGCATGTATATATATAAGTACGATGCATTTCCTTGTTATAGTGCAGGAGATTCTTTGTCTTGTTTACCTTTATGTAAATATGCAATTACTGGGAAATAACCCACCACAGAAATAATGTGATCAACAGGATTGGTAAGGGAGTTGATGGCCTTTTGGTATCAAAAGTGAGAGTTTACTACCCAGGTAATGCAAACAAACAATTATACGATAGTTTGCAAGGCGGCAGAGAATTGGTTGCTTATGTAAAAATAGAGGATGGTTTTAAGGATGTTTTGTTATTAGAAAAAAATGTAGAGCGTTGATGCTAATCTGTTGGCAGTTGGATACAATGACGACTTCACACATTTTATTTTTTTAGATAATAGGATTTTTTTCCGTGGCATTAAATAATACTGGCTCTTTTGTTAGACTCGAAAGTTTTTAATTTAAAACTAAAGGAAAGTGACTGTAACTAATAAAAACTATTTTTTGATAAGCGCCCTTTAAACTCAGTAATATTAATGGGAAATTAGAATTATTTTGTTTGAAAAATAATGGACATTTTCGATGACCTATAAACATGGATATGTGTATGAATTCATATGAGATTTTCGTAAATATTTTACCAAAAAAATAGTGGGAAAATTTTGCAATTAATAATTGTAAATCCTTTTAGACTGATATATATTCTGGTCTGGTAAGTTCTATCACAAATTATTATATATTAAAAAAATGGGAAATTTTTGTAAACAATTAAAAGTGATATCTCTGGTAAACTTATATTCTACTTACGTACATAAAATGCTTAAATAGTGAACTTTTAAGCTGATATATAGGAATTTCGCACATAAAAATTTTGAGTATACTAAACGACATAAATAGACTTTGATGTGATCTGTACACAAATGTAGATGTAAATTGAAGTTTGCTAAAGGGTTGCAACTTTTTATGAAATATGGGGAAAGTTTGTGGCGAATGAAAAGAATCCAAGAAATATATTTTGAGCATTAGATGCGATGAAAATATGAAACAATTATAATAAAGCATTAAAGGAATTTTATGAGAAGAAATAATGGGAAAATTAAAATTTAAGTAGTAGAGACGCGAGAGCGAAGTACTGGATTTGTTTTCCTGGAGAAAGAACAGGAAATTTGAAAAATACGGGGAAATTTTGTGACGAAAAAACAACAACAAAATGGTGGGAAATTTCAAATAAGCTGAACAAATATAGGGACGTTTTTCTTATTGGAAAATCTAAGGGCAATTGATAAATCCTTTAAGAGGTAAGTTAGTGTAGAAATAACAAAAAATATTTTTGGTGCACACTGAACTGTAGCTTATGTCGAAAGACTGGCTTTAGGATATCGCGGCATTCGCAGCATACGATTGCGATTGACTCACTGGCGCCGAGCCGTTGAAGAACTTTTGGCAAAAAAAAAACGTGCGGAAATAGTTCCGGTATTAGCAAGTCTCATTAAGTCTCATCTAAAAATTCCTTGTCGTTTAAAGAATGAAGGGAATGCCGCATTATACTAAAGCCAGCTTCCCGATATAAGCCACTAATTCCATACGAACACAGATATGTATTTGGAAATTGAAAATCAGCCTGAATAATTCAAAAGTCGATAGTTTGCAAAGACGGAAGGAAATGTTACGGTTATAAAGAAAACAATATATCTCATGAAAACTCAGCAGGAGGATTAACAAGTGAATATTATATGATAAAGGAAGTTCTCATAGAGCCTACAATAATTTATCGGTAAAGGTATGCAATGGTTACACCAGGCATTTTAGCATCTTTGACGTAGCTTCTCTAAAGATAAAAAGGAATTTATAGCACTATTTTAGTAGGGGGTAGACTATGCTGCAATGTAAGGTTGCGGACTTACCCACCTTCTGGTACTAATAAACCTACTAAATTAGCCGAAATGAGCAACAAAAAATGATACAGAACGGACGATTGACCAACCCAGTTAGGCTATGTGATATGAGGGACACAGTGAGGAATAGAAATCGAGTGGCCTTAGTGGATGTCGAAATAGACACGAAACTAATATGTTTTTTAATAAACGACCCAGAAAGGAAGGACATGACTAAGAAAATAGCGGTACTAGGAAGACTAACGGAATTCACCAAGACAAGTGAAGCTGTTAAAATGTCAGTTTAAGTAAGTTTTCTTGCATTGTGTAGTTACATATGTAAATAAGTCAGTGGCCATCAGGATTTGTTTGTTCTAGTAGTGGAGTGAGTGTATGTAAGTATGTATGCACATATAGTGAGGATGGCATGGCCGATACTGGTATTGAAGTTAATTTTTAATTCGATATTTCTAATGAGACAAGGGAATTTTAAAAATCTTGGTAAAGAAATTGAATGGCTACAGAAGGTCTTAAAAGAAAAAAGAGGTTACTTATAAATTTTTGAGAAAATTGCGTGTGAGGGCTCGGGCAGGTAAATATTGTATATTTTTATTTTTTTACTTTTAATGCATATTTAATGTTAAAAATGCTTTATTTCGTGGTGATAAAATGTAACTAAAGTTGTTATACTCTTTTTTTATCATTGCGGTAATACTAAGTATGGCTGACATTTAACAAACTAAACATAAGTAAACGTGGGAGAGTACCATTAAAATGTATGAGAAGTATTTTTATAAACGTTTTTTTTTTGTAGTTCTTTTTTTGTTTTCTTATAATTCTGCCGTGTCTTGGTGGAACAATGAGCATTTTACTAACAAAATTATAGAGACCTTCGTAGGCAAGTAGTGGACTGGATTGGTGAAGGTATGTGGTATTATATAAATATACCATTAATTATATAAAATTTAAACGATGGAGCATTTGCTGGTAAGGTAATTTTCTGTAGATTTATTCTTTTTTTTTCAAAAAGGTGTAATTAAGGTAGAAAACAAAATAACAAGTAGTGAAGTGGGGAGATTGATTGTAGTAAACAAAATACACATACTTTCCAACTGCACACGAGCCCTCGTGCTAACCAAGCAGAGTTAACAGTAGATATCAGTTAAAGTTTTTTTCATAGCCACTAATTCAAGTTTCCCTTGGGCCCCGTACTAAGTCGACGAACGAGAGCAGAGTAGAGCAGAGCTGAAGAGTGAAACGGTATTTTTGCTGAACATATCCTTCAACCAAGAGTGTGTACCAACTAAGCAAGTTGACGCGAAATCGCTTTTTTGTGTTTGTTACTTGCGTTCTCTCACTCTCTCAACCAATCCTTTGTTACACATATTCTGCGGTGGCTTTTATGTATGTACATTTAAACAACTTTATAGTAGGTATTTTTTATTTTTTCATCGTTTTTAGTAAATCCTCTAAAGCCCTTTAACTTTGACTTTTTCTTTCTGTAAAATTTTGCTGTTCAGTTTTTATGTTGGTGAGATAGGCTTTTGTTTGCTTACACTAGCGAGCGAGCGAACGAACGAACAAGCGTAACGACAAAGTGTAACGACGTTGAACTTATCCTAAGAGAAAGTGCAGAAAATATTAAACAAAATACAAAAAAGAAAAAAGTATAAGTAATCAAAAATATTCTTGCTATTTATTTTTTGTTTGTATTAAAATACATAGCAAATTCGATTAGTCTTTTGATGCCTCGACATAGACGATTAGTGAAAGTGGAGGGTAGGCAGAAATTTTGTATGCACTAAAAGGACACAAAAAAATGGACTTGTCAGGGTGGGAATGGATAGTAATTCAAAAGCAACACTGATTTTTTTTTTAACTTAAACTCAGAAAAAAATTATCGCAAATCAAAGGGGATTTGGCAATTTTTTCCAAGTTTTAGATTAAGGTTGAATCTTATATTTAACGGTTTATTTATTTAATCTATTAAACTTATCAATGAATTATACAGTGACACAAAAATTACCAAGTGTTAATTTTTTTTTGATAATTGTAAAGTTTTCGAGCTTATTTTTTTGTTATATTTCTATAAAAATACCGTCCACGAAGTGCAAGTTTCAAAGGGTCTAAAAAATCCCGTTGATTTCTGAGATTATTTTTTTGGTGACGGATTTTCGCACTCTTTTTCATATAAACATGAAATTCTTATGAAATTCAGGCAAGTTTCCTGGAAGCTTTGCATTAGAGGACGTTTGAATTACATTATTTAATGTTTCTTCTTCTGTTTTATTTTACTAATTTAAAATTTTTTATGTAGCAATTCTTACTTCGCGCCTACTAAGCTTAAGCAGTTCTTCGGCTGTTGATATTTTCGGATTTAAGGACATACCCCGAAGGAGGAACTCTATAGTAGGCCGATAGAGGGTCCTGGGACTATGAATCACTGGGTAGCCCCCTCCACTGACTCCACTATGTGTCGGTACTCAAACGAGATCCTTGACGCGATGAGTACTAAGGCTTAGTATCCAACAAAATTTCATAAAATAAACGCCAGTTTTTGTAAGTTGCACTTGTTATATAAAAAAAAACCTAAAAAGCAGCCAAAAAAAACTTAAAAATTAACGTGATTTTTTAGCCGGTTGAAACTTGCACCTCATGCCACTAAAACTGTATGAGCTATAAAACTGCTTACCCAAAAATTTGGTAAAGATTCAGATTAAAAAGTTAAAATTTTGATGAAAATTTGTTGAATTTTCCTAAATTGAGTATAAAGATTGAAACGGTGATTTATATGTATATAACAAACGAATAATTAAAAAATCAACACGTGGTCATTTGTTTGAGTCACTGTAAATTTAAAGAGTAAGTTAGCGCTAGCTTAACAGGTTTATATTACAAAATGAACAATTTTTTTAAAAAAAAATTAACGATTTTTTTTTTTGATGAAAAAATCGATTATTGTACGGAAACGTTTTGTAGTGAGAGTATATTTTTTTAATTTTTAAGGCACAAGTAACCCTTAAGGCATGCCTGCTATATTGAGATTTCTATTCAAACCTTTTTACCTTATGTTGTTTTCACATTGCACTGCTCTCAATTTAATTTTCAGTATTGCTTCTTTCTTACGAATGAGAGAAAGTGTTTTGTTAATCGGTTCTTCAAAATTGAATTAGTCAAATACTAATTGAGGCTTGGACTATTTTTCACTTCATATTCCGATACCAAAAAGTACATTTATTTTCCTTTAAGGTGATCAAATTATCTATATGGACACTAAAACTTAACTTAATTTGGATGTGGTTAGATGATTAAAGTGGAAAGTAGCAAAACGTTTAAAGAAATAAAATTAAATATGACAAAAGGCAAAAAGGGAAAACAAACGGCAATAGAAACCATATTACACGTGAACGTAAGACCAGAGAGAAGAAAAGGAGCGGAGCGGAGCGGAGCGGAACAGAAGAGAAAAGTGATATATATGTGTAGAGTAAAGTGGGTAGAATAAATAGAGAAAATAGTGGAGTGGGCAGCGACATAGAGCGGAGCGGAGATATAAATTTTTTTTATTAATGTATGATAGCAAAAATTGTGATTATAAATATACATATGTATGTATGTAGAAAATATGTAAATGTAAGTACGTAAATTGTATGTGTATAAATAAGTATGCAAAGCACAAACTTAGTTGACAAAAGTAAATAATTTGTAACGGACAAATAAGGAGTAAAATTACATTATAAGAGGCAACTGTGGAGCGCAAAAAAAAAGTAAAAAGTAGAGGTAGAAAAAGTAGTAGTCAAATAAAAAATAGGCACATATTTGCTAAGAAAAATACATAGATAGACAATGAAAAATTTAATTTTATTTATATGGCGCTGCTGACGTTGGAGGCTGCTTTTGCCGCTTGCTTACTTGAGCGCAAAAAAAAGAGGTAAGGGCGTTTAGCAACACGTCAGTAAACGCCAATAAAAGTGTGGGGAGTGTAAAAGAAAACTTGTTAAAGGCGAATAAAGGCAGCGAATGGCAGAGACCAGACCACGTACATTTATAGAATGTAAGTATGTATATTTGCTGGTACTTGAGGAGGTGTGTGTGGCATAAACAAATACATATTTATGCAGCTAGTATAAGTAGAAAGCATAATTATATAAATGTATATATGTAGTATGCGCCTACATATGTGTGGTATGCACGTAGTACAGCTCCTTTATGCCAATGCCAAACGCACACACACTTATACACACAGAGGCAGTCTCATCCACACACATGCACGCCCCACACCCACACGCTTCACCAAATTCACCCGCCCATTAATTGATAATACGTAAAATGAGCTTGGCGTGCCAATGCAGTGCACTGTGTGTATGGCGATTCTGTGACTCTGACCGTCTGTGTGTGTGTGTTTGTCTATGTATGCGCACAGGTGTTTAGTTATGCATGTATGTGTATTATTTCATAAGATATCTTACATAGGCATGTTTGTATGAACAAATGGGTGTTTTGTGCGGTCAGTTTACCTCTTGTGCGGGTACAGCATAGTTGCCTTGTATGGTATAGGCTTGTCCGTTTGCCAAAATGACTGGTCCAGATACTTGCGGTTTTGGCCGATACGGTATGGTGGCTCCCCTTGGTGGTGACTGTTACGACAACGACGAAACGAGGTGTGTATGTGTGCATAGGGGGTTTAGAGAATATACATAGCAAATTTAATTAAATCGAGCAAAGTGCATTTATACTGGCACACACACACGTATACACAGCCGAATTCACCTACACTTATAATGCATAGGTATTTTTTAACTATTTTGCATCTAAGTAAGTACTCCAGCCTATAGGTTTGCGCGTAAGTGTGTGTATCTATGTGTGTATGCCATTCCACTATGCCAGCACTTTAATTCAATACTCACCTCCAGCATAACGAGACAAATCTGATAGATACATTGGGTTATTTGCTCGGCAGTGCCGCTCAAAGTAACGGCTCGTTCTGTTGAATTTGGCAACATTTCACTGGCAACCTGAATCGAACAGCCAGTGGATTGACGTATTTCCTTGATTTTTGAGCCACTTTTGCCTGCATAGAGATGGCGAGGAGGGCAAATAGAGAAAGCAAAAAAAAAGAGAAGATATTTCAATTACATTATTGCAAATGTGCCTAGTTAGAAAAGATAACTATGTTTGTATATATGTATGTATGTGTGCAAGTATTTTACCAATTAACGATCCACATTGACTGGCGGGCACAATTAAACGTATCGGTATTTGAGTTTTGCCAACCTTGCCAACATCACTGAACTGTGAGCACCACTAAAAAGAATTGTAAGTATTAAATATGCAAACAAGTAATGGTAAGATAGAAAAAAGGTGGCGGTGTTATTTAGAGAAAAATATGTACTTTCCATTATACGCAAAAGTAGCTTTTAAATTTAAAGTTATGTACATACATATGTATGTATGTTCAAAAAACTAAAATTAATAGATTTGAATTTTCACAAAATAAAAATTTTCTATTTATAAAGCGTCTCAAAACGATTCTAATACTAATAAATTCTTTGTGTAGGAGTTTTGGTAATGGAGGATGGTTCCGTGCGCAGAAGTACACATAAGTTCGGAAAGCTCTGGGTACCGACTAAACACCCGTTTGATAGCGGTCTAAACTGAGAAGGCTAGAAACCTCGTGCGCGCTGGGCTTGGGTCCCACCACTTTAAAGCCCTTCTTCAGTAAAACCACGAATTTGGTATTAATATTTCTCGCTGCTGAATTTGGAAATTTTATAAATTGGCTTCTTTATTGATTACGCAAACATGTTTGTTAATCTTAACAATTTGCTAGATTAGAAAAAAAAACAAAGCCTAAAAATATACATCATTTCATTCAACAACATGCATATTTTTTATTTTAGGAGCCAAAGTGACCTATCGCAGTAACTTTGACGTCGGTTCATTGCAGTTACCTCAGTAAAGTGCCCTCCCCTAGCTCAACATGTCGGAAAGTCGCTTTTGTAAAAGTAATGAACTTTTATTACGCTGTGGTCCCTGAGATCAGTATCCATGACGATTGGTCCGCCGAAGCATATATGTACTATACCTTATCCGATCGAATGCTGGACATTCAACTGCGTTCCATAGTCTTGCGGACTTCGACTAACATTTCACATCAAAGCTGAATCTTTTATACCGATTTTCCTAGCGTACTTGTTAAAGGGAATGTGGGGCGTCAGAGAATATTTTAGAGTGTCGGCAGGTGTCGCGACTATGGCACGATTACTCTGTTTGTGGTGCCGCACCTAATTTTGAATTTTCCCCACTCAGACGAGCATACCTCAAAAGCTGATTGGCTATCCGAAAAGACGGTAATGTTTCCACCAAGAGGGAACGAGGGTTAAATATATTCCGTTTTGGGAAAGAGATGCGTCCATTCGAGTGTAGTGTAGACAAAGATAGCATAAGATGCGACCCCGTCCCACCTAACAAAGTGCACTCTTGTCTGATCAGGAATGACATACCGAAACAGACTCAATAATCCTAGCTTTTCAGCGAAATGAAGTACCACAGCCTTTCCAGTCACTTCTCCAGCGCAGTAGCCCTTACCGCCCAATATAGGAAATACGTCCTGACAATGCAGTATTTATCAAATCAATTGAGGAATGAACCCCAAGACCTCCCCAACACTAGTACCCAATTCGGACTGCATCTGACAGCAGAGCACTTGTTGATTACTACCACCAATGGCAATGCAAAGACCATCAGTATACGAAACCGTCGGAATACCTGATTCGTTAAGCTTCCCTAAGGAAGGGTAATCGAGAAGATTACAAGCCGCGCAAACCCTTTACTGGCCTCACAGAGACAGCACTACTAAAAAGGCTAGCAACATTAGTCCTAGCTCCAAGCATTGCGAGTGCATTCTCAACCTGTATGGCGTAGGTACTTTGAAGCCGAAATGCCTGTCCAACTCTGCCATTACTAGAACTGTCGAAAAGCCCTAGAAATTCATAAAGCCAGCAAAGGCATGTTTATTTCTGTCTATGACACTCTGTATTCAGTCATTCATTTCAGCCAGAGCAGACTGGCTAGACGATTCTTTTTGGTTAAGGTTTGGAATAGGCCGGTAGAGGGGTTATACACAATTCAGCTAGTCCTTAGCAGACAATTTTTTTTTGCAGGCGTTGAGCGCTACATTAAAAGTAAACATAATATAAACTCGGAGAATAGCTTTAGTGGATCATAAAAAAAAAAAGATGAAAAAGACGTTTTTTTTTTTTAATTTACAAATTTGAGACGTAAAGTACGAGAAAATGGGCCGAATGAATAAAAATAGGCAATTGATTTTCTTAAAATTTCACACCTTTTACGCGATTTACTCATGCAAAATTGAAGTAAAAGGTATGGAACTTTAGAAAAAGCAATTGCTTAGTTTTTATTCACACGGTCCAATATGACCAAGTTAGTCTTTTGGCCTTCCATGCTTGAAAATGCCTCAAGAAGACATTTTCGTGCTGGTAAATATTAGACAATTGTCTTACGGAAAAAATACTCAGCGATTGACACTATTTTAATTAATCTTTTTAGTTGTTTTGTTCCGAACGAATGTAGTTTTGATAGCAAAATTTGCACTCTCAACATGTGCCATTGAACGATTTTTGAGAGTCAGCATTCTATAATGAATGATTCTATAATCTTTTAGGATCAAATTTTGGAGGCATACCCATTGGAGTTTTTTTTTATTGGTGAGGTAAACACGGACTGTTTTGAGGATAGAGTTTTAGAGATAAATATAAGTACAAAAAAAAATTATTAACCGAAATGCACTTTTATCAAAACTTAAAATTTTTAACCAGCCACCCTTATGTTGAAATCTATAAACACAACTACATTACCTCTTCAAACTTCTTTGTGATGAGCGTGAAAGCCGAGAAGATCGCGCTGGTCGTACCAGATACAGTGACAATGCGCTCCGGGCATGAACCGTCCGAGATGTTGATTTTTGCGCCAGACTGTAAGGAGATTTTGAACATAGCAAAATTTTATTTTGAGCGGAAAACAATTAAATTTTTTCTAATACCTCCTCACGAAATCTGTTCACAATCTCTCCTTTTTTGCCAATAATGCTGCCAACTTCCTGCAATGAAAATAAAACAAGATACAAGAATTAATAAATAAATATAAATACAAAATTCTGAAAATTTGTTGGAATATGAAAAGTGGTCAGATAAAATCGATTACAATCGCATGACAAAAAAAATTTAGATAATTGACTTGTTTGCAAATTGTTTTGATTCTAACAAACAAAAAGATTAAATTTGTATGCCAAAAGCGACAGCCATTTATTGTTTTTGAATTTTGTGGCCTACATGCACATTTACTTGTACGCAGGCAAATAGAAATCAACAATTACTTTGATCGTACATATGTTATCCTGACACTATGTTACAACTATATACATACATATGTATGTATGTATGATATGTATATACATAAATATATTGTTGTCAACCGACAAAACATGTGTGTTAACCATATGAAATATACACGTCGACATATTTTGATACGATTTACATATCTACGTGCGATAGTAGTTGCATTGGAATGCACTTTCAAAGTTTAGTTTAATAAGTTTTCCCTTTTAAACATTGCAAGCATGCAATGGCTTAACCACAGCTATGCCTCACAAGTGAATTTCCTGATGTATCCTGAAATGCATATACTTACACATACATATATACAAATGAATACGTAAAGATGCACAGTAATGCAGTTTACACACATCTACATATGTACATATATATGTACGCAAGACTTTTATGAAGATTCAAGCTCGATAAAAGTCCACTCGTACCCAATTGGTGAAGGAACGCTAAAATGACAAAAACAAAAAACACCGAGACACGTACTTACTTTTGGGTTGTGGATCACGGATCTGCATATCGTTTTTCTTTAACAAGTCACTTCCCAAACTTCCCCACTTTTCATTGTAAGGGCCTGTGCCAATCAGCAGAAAAATTCTATTGCGAAATAACTTTCTACTATGGTAAAAAAAATTTACATTTCTGCTGTGGCAATTCGCAATTTTTTACTGCTGGAAATTTATTCTGTTACAAAAGAAGCTGACTTATTAAAATGCAGCAATTATATAAAAAAAAATATTTGTCTTTACAGATTTGAATTCTTCTAGGACTGCATTTATTATATTTCACCTCATAGTTGTCAAAAATTTACAATCCAGAGTTTGCATAATGAATAAAAAAACAAAAATCAAACTTTAACGCCATGTATGAGTATGTACGAGTGCGGCCAATACGATGCGGCGTATGAGTAACATTTTTTCCTGCTCATATTTCAACAAAAACGCACTTTCTTTTAACAATACAAATTTAATCTACGACCCAAAATTGAGTTTACGTGTTTTGGTGTCTTTTTGTGTCATATCAACACTTGAGATTTACCCTACAGTGTTAGTGTTACCAGCAAAAAAAAAGTTAGTCTAATTTTGTTTTTTCAAGTTTTCCTTTGAATAGTGACAGTGATAATGCTTTTCACTTCCCCTTTCAAGGCTTTTTAAAGTTTTCTAAAAAATAACCTCCAAACAACTGCGAATTAGGCACAACTCGGTTGTAAATATTTGCCTAGGTGGCAACTATTTTTAAATATAAGTATTCCCGATTCCCTTCATTTCACAATTTAACTGCAGCACGCTAAGTAAAAATGATTTTTTTTTCTGTCTAATACCTTTTTATTTTTTGTTTTTAGTTGGCAACCCTTTTCCAAAGACACTTCTTAAAACGCCCCTATAATGAGACTTTTTGGTACCCACAACTAAATAACTTGCATACATACTTATCCGATATCATTCAATAAGTGGCAGCAATGGTGGATGATTATTACCCTGCAGGGAGTGACGTTAGCTTATACCTAACTTTAGTCTGT